ACAACTGCAATACATTTTGTGAGCACCCTAGGGGCCACAGAAAGGGCAAAGTGGAGGGTCTTAAACCGATAATGATCCTAACCCACTGTCAATCGTAGGAATCGCCTCAGAGGAGGAACAATTGAAATATGAAAAATAGACATGTTCGAGATTGAGGGCAGTGTGCTAGTCCCCTGCAGCTAGGGACAGACTGATCAAGGACAAAGTTACCATCTTGAACTTTGACTTTACTATAAAGGCATTGATGGCCCTCAAGTCTTGGATGGGGCGAAAAATCGCCCTCGACCTTCAGGACCAGGAAATAACACGAGTAGAACCCCCATCCCTGAGATTCAACGGAACCTCATCCACTGCCCCCAGATAGAGAGCTGTTTCACCTCCAACCTTAGGAGATGCTCATGAGAGGAGTCCTGAAAAGGGACAGGGAAGGGAGGTGGGGCAGGAGGAGAACTGAATGAAGTATCCAGTTTACCCAGGACCAAGTGGTCCATTGTAAAATGGGACCAGGAACAGCGGAAAGTGGATAAATGTCTGGGAAAGGGCTGCTGACACGTGGCTGGTACGCTGTATCTGTTCAAACCTTCAAAGGCTCAGCCTGGGGCCCTGATGGACGAGTGGGACGGCCGCCTGTCATTCCTGTTATTGTTGCGGCCCCTGCACCTCAAGAGGTCTGGCCTTCTTCCTTGCTGGAATGGACGGAGGAGGCCCTAGAGAGGAAGTGTGTCTGCGGGGCTGGGGTGTGGATGCCGAGGGACTTGAGAGTTGCACTACTGTCTTTCAGCCAGTGGGGGCTGGTGTCAGTGCACTTGGAAAACAGGCCTGCCCCCTCCAATGGCAGGTCCTGAATAGTGTTCTGGACCTCTGGTGAGATACCAAACACTTGAAGCCAAGCGCCCCTCTGCAGGACAAGGCTGGTCACCATAGTGCGGGCCGCTGTGTCTGTGGCATCCAAGGCAGCCTGGAGTGTGGCTTGGGACACAATCTTTTTCTCTTCCAACAGGGTCTTGTACTCCTGCCTGGAGTCCAGAGGCAGCAGCTCCCTAAATTTGTTCATCTCTGCCCAAGAGTTGAAGGCGTATCTGCTTAGGAGCGTATCTGCTTAGCCCTGGGCGAGTAGATTTCAGCCGGGTGCCCCGTTTGTTTGCGGCGCACTCATGTGCAATACGGGTCTTGCGCATGCGCATTTCAGGGCTGGCGAGGGGCTTTCGCCGCCATTCATCAAGCCCAGATAATAAGCACTACAGAAAAGCCCATGAGGAAATACAAAATTTTACATTCAGAGCAGGTTCTGAATAGTGTAAATAAGGTATGGGACCAAATACTGAACAATGAGAAAACAAAATATGGATTTAGCTGTTCACTGAGGGAGGATAGTCCATTTTGTGCACTGAATGAGACTTAGGCCCTGTACAAAAAAAACCCTGAATATGATATTATTATCCTCATATTATTACATTATCACATGCAGAGGGGGAGACTTGAGAAGTGTAAATGTTTGCCCAGAGCTAGAATTCAGGGTGTGACAATGTCTGCTGATCAAAGCCTGAGACCGCTACTCCTTCTTACTTGTCCCACATGATACTGCCAAGAATGACCTTAAGTGGGTGACTATTGTCTCTGTGGCTCTAGGAAAGATAAAGGAATTTGAGGCACAAGCAATGTTCTCGTCCATCCTTCCTGTTGAAGGAAAATACCTAGGAAAGGACCACTGAATTGTGGAAGTAAATATATGGTTGCACAGATTATGGTGGAGAGGGGGCTTTGGATTCTTCAACCAGGGAATGTTGTTCCATGAAGGATTATTAGGAAGCGATGGGATCCACCTTACGGAAGAGTATCTTCACAGACAAGCTTGCTAACTTTGTGAGGAGGGCTTTAAACTAGATTCCATTATGGATAGAGACCTAAGCCCTCAGGGAAGTGGGACACCAGGAGGAAATAAGGAGGAGGGTGCAACAGGGGAAGCCTCCTTATACATACTGAGAAAACAGAGCAACAGTCTAGTTATTTTAGGTGCCTATATATGAACACAAGAAGCCATAAACAAACCAGGACCTAAGCAATCTGATTGCCTTCTCTGATGAGGTAATTGGCTCTGTGTGTTATGGGGAAAGTGATAGACAGGATACATCTTTATTTCAGCAAAACCTCTGGTACAGTCTTTCTAGGTATTCTTGCTGGCAAGTTAAAGAAATATGGATTGGATGAATGGACTATAAAGTGCATAGAAACCTGGCTAGATCATCATGCTCTATGGGTAGCGATCAACAACTCAATGTTTAGTTGGTAGCCAGTATGAAGTGGAGTACCCCGGGGTAGATCCTGGGACCAATCTTAATCAACATCTTCACACATGACCTGGATGAGGAGTTGGACTGCACCTTCAGCAAGTTTGTGAATAACATTAAGCTGAAGGGACAAGATAGAGACACTGGAGGATAGGGATAGGGTCCAGAGTGACCTAGACAAATTGGAGGATTGGGCCAAAAGAAATCTGATGAGGTTCAACAAGGACAAGTAGAGTCCTGCATGCAGGATGGAAAAATCCATGCTACAGGTTGAGGGACCAACTAGGTAAGCAGAAGTTCTGCAGAAGATGACCTGGAGATTGCAGTGGATGAGAAGTTAGATACGAGGCAACTAATTATGCTAATGGCATATTGTGCTGCATTAGTAGGAACACTGCCAGCAGAATGAGGAAAGTAATTATTCTCCCTTCTCTGGCACTGGTGAGGCTACATTTGGAATACTGCATCCACAATCGGGCTCTCCATGACAGAAAAGATGTGGGAAAATTAAAAAGAGTCCAGAGGAGAGCAATAAAAATGATTTAGGGGTGGGAGCTCATGACATACATGGAGAGACTGAAGATATTGGTCATATTTATTCTGCAGGAGAGAAGAGTGAGAGGATTTTAGAGAAGCCTTCAACTATCTGAAGGAGGGTTCCAAAGAGGATGGCACTAAGTTGTTCCCAGCGGTGGCAATTTATAGAACAAGGAGCATCTCAAGTTGAAGCAGGGGACATCTAAGTAGAATATTATAGTTTTTTTTCCCCTCTATCACTAGACGGGTGGTGAACTGGAATGGATTACATAAGAAGGTGGTGAAATCTCCATTCTTACAGGTTTTTAAGGTCTTTTCCAACAGATTCTATAACTGTATCAAAATACATAATAAATGCTACAGGTCTTAAATGCTAATATAATAAACACAACATGTTACTATAATTCTACACTCACTTTTACTGTTTACTAACAATGATTCTTTGATCTGAATGTTGATTTGGCCTTGTCTAGCTGAGGTAATAAAGGAAGACACAAAATTGGTCTCAGTGCTTATGTACTGTATATCAGATGAATGTACTAGTCAATAGGTCAAGTGTCCGTTCCCCATCCATGAATGTTCAGATAAAGCTAATGTTTAGAAAATGCTGCTTAGAGATAAGCAAATTACTGAGTAAGAAACATGCTCCTTTCCAAAACAAGCTTCTTGACTTGATATAGAGTTTCAACCTGTCAGAGATGAAGTGACAAAAAGGCAAATCTACTCAGTTTCTATAATTCCACTAGACAGTGGATTATCTCAGGGAAATTCCTGCTAGCCAAGTTTTCATGTGACAAGAAGTGCATTTAATTTGGGAAAAAGTCACACTCACAAGAAACCCACCCACAAAAAGCTTTATGACCATTTACAAAATGTACTTATGTTTTGCTCATAAGAACCAATCTGATTAAATGAAGAGAGGTGCAGAAGTGTAGCCTCATTTTGAATACTACCTTCAAACTTGAAATTAAAAAGATAAGCATGCACTGTATTCCATTACAATATAAAGTTGAATGCCACACTGTGTAATAAACACAAAGAAGCCAAAACATTCTGCCAAATCCAATTATGAATACGACCTTCCACATATTCTCACAGAAATTTACTAATCCACACAACCCATAGAGATTCATAAATAAGTTTTAATTTCCAAGTTTAATAAATTTTTCAAAATGTTATTTCAATTCCATCACAAATACTCAAGATTAAATAGGAGTCAATCACCTGAAAGTAGAAGTCTAACACAGCAACCATATCTGTGCCTTCTGGAAAACACTGGGGAAAGAAGTAAAAGGAATTTTTTAAATATATTGATTATATTAGACAATACATCAATTTTAAACTAAATAGATTTTAAAATCAAATAAATTCCTGCCAGTGTTCAAAAAATTAGCTAGTCTTTTTTAATTAAAATGTATACAGATGTTTAAAGAGAGCACTATAATGTTTAAGAAAACTAAATGACATTCTGTTTTTAAAGATGGAATTCTCATACAGCTTAATACTCTACTAAAATACCTTTATGTACAACTTTAAGTCGAGGCACTTTTAAAGTATGCATAGAAACACTTAAAACATCTAATGCAATTTTTTAAATAGTCACTTGTACTGAATCTTTGGAAAAAGTTACAGGATATGATAGAACCGATAATCTTATATGGAGAAATGAGATTTGGGCCATTCTGTAAAGAATACCTAAATACAGGTCTGCATCCTCTGCAAACTAAACCCTTACTATTCATGGGGGATGCGTTCCTGGAAACACTGCAAAGAGCGAAATCTATGGATACTGGGAGTCACAGGGAACTCACTACAGCTGCCAGGAGATGCGGTAAGTTCCCTACAGCTCCTGACCATCGTTGCCCTCCTGCCCCAGGCTGGGACAGGAGACCCCCGCAAAAATGCAAAACCACGAATAGCACGATTCCACAAATAGCGAGGGTCTCCTGTACAACACACAAGGTATTCTAAACTATATCAATAAAAACAGGTTCTAAAATAAAACACCAAAAATTCAGAGACCAACATTACGAGCTGATGTTTTTGCATGACTTCTAACAAAAGATGGACAAACCTTCTTTTCTTTCAGGTAATAGCCAATTGCAAAGTTTCGATCTCCACTCTCTCTTTCAGACTGGAACCTTAAAAAAAAAAAACCCAAGTTTTCAAATACTTGGAATGTAGAGAAGCACAATGGTAGCATTTTTTGTTTTTTCATTTTTTAACTTATGGGCAAAGCCAGATGTCAACAAAAAAGAAACTGGTAGAGAGCTCTGAAAAGAACAATTTTGCATTTGTTAAAAATTAAGCATTTAAAAAAGAATAAATATACTGGAATCACCTAGTTATGCAATTATTACTGTTTGTAACCACACCATTTCAACACTGTTACCCTTGTCCTCTGAACTTCTGGTCCAAACTTACCCGACTGAAACTAGTGGTAAAATTACTAATGAATTCAAGAATGCAAGAACAGATCTGTTATTCATTAAACCCATTCAAGTCAAATCTTTTCTTAAAATTAGACTGTATGTTGCTCAGGACAAGGAGTGTGTCTATCATGTGCAAATAAGGAGATTAAAGTAAGACAGCTTTCTAAATTCAACCAATACAAATAGGAGGACATTTCTGATTTTAGGCTACATGTAAGGAGACTGTTGATCCCTTACTAAAACTTAGTGAGGGGTTTTGGTTGGTTATCTCCCAGTACCAAAAGAAATGGTAACGTTGATGGAAAATCAGTAGCCTGAGACTGAAAGCAGTCTTTGTTGAGTAATTTACTAGTCGAGTAGTCAATGGAGTTTCTATCAGTCGATCAAGTTCCACATTCCTGATGGGGCTCTTGTACATTTCAAAGGAGGAATGTGGAACTCCGTGTGCAGCCCAGGGACAGTAGGAAGTTCCACTGACTCCGGGCTGTACATGGGCATGGCAGCTTTGAAATGTACAAGGATCCTCAGTGGCAGCTCTTGTGCATTTCAAAGCGGAAGCGCCCTCATGAAGCCTGGGGCCAGCGGGGAACTCAGAGTTCCCCACTGACCCCGAGCTCCATGTGGCGCTGCTGCTTTAAAATGCCATGCAGAGCCCAGGGTCAGGTGGGACTGACTCCGGGTTCCGCGTGGCATTTCCGTGTAACCTGGGATCAGCTGGGGAGTCCCCAGCAGACCTCTGGTTCCACGTGGCACTGCAACTTTGAAATACTACTTCTGCCCCCGCCCCTCCCTGCTTTGCTGCCTCTATCTGATAGAGGCAGCAAGGAGGGGGGAATCGACTAGTCGATTGGACTACCCAATAAGCATTTGCTTACTGGATAGCTGACTAGCCCCTTACATCCTTAATGTAATCAGCACTTTGTCAGGGAAGCATCCAAAGCAAAGAGTACCCCAGAGTGGGGACAGCTTAGCTCATGTACTAAGCCAGACTAAGTGAACGAGCCTTCCAGGAATCTTTGGCCCACTCTTGTCAGGATTATGAAGACACTGCCACCCAAGAGAGTAAAAGGGGGTCCTTAAGGTCGGGCAGGCTGCTAGGTAAAGGGAGTGGAAGCAAGAACTGGATACTTTCACTAGTTAATTCCACCGTGGTTGTGTATAAACCAGGAAAGTTCCCTGTAATAACTGGACTATTCCCTCGTTTGTCACCACCAAGACCCAAAAACTGAATTCTTGGCTTTAAATCAGCTTAGTGAGGTGGAAACCTTGCGGCTTCTAAAATGAAGCATCACAATATCCTGAAATAACTGCAAAGTGAGAAATATCATAAAACTAGTGCTTGAAAAAATATTAAACATCTATTAACCGGGAGAGGGAGAGGGTGTAAAGAGCATGGTGGGACAGCTGGACTGTGGAGGAGCGCTGCTTTCACCTTTGGAAGCATTGGTCCATGGCAAGGTGTTCTGGGCCCTGCAGCAATACCAATAAGAATGATGGGGGACAGCTGAATGAGTCTGCTAGGTCAAGGGCAGTAGAAGGTCCTCTCCCCTCTTGTTCCTCCTCAGGGAGAAAACAGGCCTAGGTACGGTCTCACGGCTTTGAGACTGTGCCAAGTCCTCAGTGCAAGGAATAAGCTTCTGTGGGAGCAACAAGAGGCTGCAACGGTTCAGAAAAGCAGTGAGTAAGAACAACTTTCTGAGATGCTCTAAGTCAGAAATCTTCCCCTAATATTGCCTACATTCTAGGTGTGTCTGCTGACTGTCTTCGCTCAGGCTTTACCAATTTACATATTGCCGCAGGACACAACCCATTAAAAAAAAAGCAAATTTCACACTCTCATGCTTCAGAGAAATGTGTTATGTGGGACAAAGGCAGGTGAACAGTCTGATTGTTTTATGGGCCTGGTGTCAGACCCTAATCAATCTCCAGTCTGCCCTCTTTCTTGAAGAACTGGGATGTAAAATATTTACATACCACATAATTTTCAGGCATTATGCAATTCTCCAAGACAGAAGAGACTCTTTACAAACTTGTCACTGGCAAACATGACTCCCTAATATAAGGAGCAGTACTTTAACCCCAGGGACCTGAAGGAGACCATCCTGGGAAAGTTTTTTTTGTTACTCTTAATTTACTAACAGACTAATCATAAATACTAACCAACCAACCAACCAACCAAAATAACTAATGCTAACAACAAATGTACTAGCTAGATTACACAGGTATTGACAGCAAGCTTTCTGCCTCAATACCTTGAGACAGGTGAAAGGAAAAGGCGGCAGTTAGTTCATTCTGTATTTTTATGTCCTCGCCCATGAGCATGAGAATCTCCATGTACCTTCCCCCACCCCCTTCCCCTTTAGAGCTTCCTGGCATCTGACAGGGAGAAGGCAGAGAGACCTTCACAACTCTATTTTTCCTCAATTTCCCTTGTTTGGGTCCTCACCCTTCATGAATAATTTCAGAGCCTGCCTCCTATGTTGCTCATTGCTTCCCCCATCAACAGGAAATAGACATAATTCTTGATTGTTTAACCACCGCCCACAATATTTTGATTTATCAACAGTAAAAAATGGCTAGCATAATTTGTGTCACACTATTACAGCTTAGCAAAACTCTGAGATATAAGACGTAGGCACCTTCTCTCTGCAGAGTTGGAAAGATTCTACATTAATTTACACTTGGTTCACACAGAGAGGTTACCCTTGTAACCACAGAATTTTACATACAATTTTTTTAAAATGTAAGGTAAAATTCTGCATGAAATGACAGTATAGTGAATAAATTTTAAGTTCTCATTAAAGTTGAATTAGATTAAGCAGTCTCACTCTGGTAGAAGAGTAATTAATTATGCTTTTATCAGTGCAAAATCTAATTTAAGGTGTAGAACTGAATTAATAGTCAAAGATATACATGTATTGGTTATCAATAAATTATATATAGTATAATGTACACTGAATTATAGGTAGGCCAGTAGATTGAGACAAAAGCAAAAGATCCTTTTCTTAAAAGTAACACTGAAAGAGGCCGGGCAGTAAAAGAACAGAAAAGGGCATATGACAGTTAAATATAATGAATACACAGTTCCCTGTGATATGCACAAGTACAATGAAGAGGGATCTGACAGTTAGAAAAAAAGGAATCAGGCTGAATTCCATGTCAATAGGTAAACAGAGGCCCAAGGATGCACGTTGCTGACGTGGTGGTCTGAGTATCTGAATAGAGTGCCAGGGCAGGCAAGAGCTGGGTAAATATGTGGACAATCCACTACTTTTAATTAGGCTTTTCTCCCATTAAATTTAAGCTCATAGTTAAAGAAGTTAAAATGAAAGTTATCAGCTGCCACACTAAAGATTCCTGTATCGAATATGCTCAGGAAATTATAATCACCAATCTCCCCTCTCCCACACAAACTCATCAGCATTCACAATTCCCCAACACCACGGAGCACACTTATGTTTTTCATAGAAGCACTGCCTCAGTGGAAATTCTGAATTTGTAACAGAAAAGCCTTGTTTTCTTGCAGGAATCCTCAATTCTAAGATTCCCATAAGGGGGTTTGCTCTTTAAAAGATTACATAAATTTAAAAAAAGCAAAAGGAATAACAAATGTAAAAGGATGGTTTATAATCCTTTGGTACACCGATGTTAAAGTGAGCAGTTTCATTTTTGGTATGAATGGCAGGGTGTCACAGTTTTGATGTGAGGCTTTCATCTAAACAGCACTCAAGAGAAATTCTCCAAAACATATGAAGTAACCATTGTTGTACATAATATTTAACCAAAACTATTATCAAAGAGACTGTTGTACATTAAGTACCACAAAAATGAACATTTAGATCAGAACAACGTAAACCATATAAGGAATGAAGTTATATTTTCTTAAATAAAGGATAAACTGTCTCCACTGAGCTTAAGATGGGCTCAGCTTTCACCTTAGACATTTTACCACCAAACCTCAAACAAAAACAAAAATACTCACGTGGCATTACTGAATCCAACATACTCGTTACCAGCCATATTATTCATAAACTGCATCATCTATAAAAAATAAAAAGCATCCCAAAAATATTCAGATCTGAAAATATCATAACTCAGACCAAATTTTCAACATGGCCTTAACTGAACCTGTTTTGGGAGCATACATTCAAACCCATTAGAACAATGGTGTCCAACCATTTCTGAAGCAGTAGCCAGTATAGTGGTTACTACCACAGCGAACAAACGACACTTAACTAGCCACATAACCACAAGTGTCTAGTGGCTGCTAGTGTGTTGGACACCACCGCATTAGAATTTCTAAATAAATCTCTATAAATCAGATAGCTGTTTACACTGCTTAAGTATCACCTGCAATTTAAAGGCAAAAATTCCATGAGGACAATGTGAGCCACTGTAGCACCAAATCTAAATATGCTAAACAGCAACAGAATGTTTTAATATTCACTTACATAGTCAAATTTTTCTGCATTATTTGCTCCTTGCTGAAAGGAAAGAAGAGATATTTACAAGAATTGTTAACATACAAAAAAAAGTCAGAAGTTCATGTAGCATATTAGGGGGTTTTTAGTTTTATATAATTAATAAAAATGTAAATGTATAAAGCTACTTAAATATAAAATACTACAAATATTTTCTATATTAATATAATTACAAGAAAAACCCTAATTAAAAGGTAAGCATAAATAACTTAGAAAACATTTATACAAAGAAAGCTACAAGATGTTTTTATCAAATACCCTGAATACAGGGGATGAGTTAAACAAAAAGAAAGGTATGCTTTATTTTAAGTGCTCTCTATTCAACACAACATATTGACAAAGCATAGTATAATAATAATAATAATAATAATATACGTGACACAAATTCATTGTGATCAATGTTCCTACAATGAACAAAACACTGGATTATACGTATAAAAAAGAGTAAAGATCTTGTTTTATTTTATATTAGCACTGAGCACAGAAAAATTCAGACTTCAGGCCAGAAAAATTCAGACTTCAGGCCATGAAGTGTTTCCTATGGTTAGGTTTCATGTTAAAAATTTAATTCAGACAGAAAACTTAAAATAAAGTGTTACCTTTACTATAAACAGATTTGCACTTAAATTGAGATTTAAGGTAAGTATCCTATAAAGAAACTGATTATTTGGTTAGCTAAATATGGTATTACTCAAAAGCTACCACTTTAGAAACTTAAAACTACATCAACGTTTTCCTAAGCAACATAAGGAAAACTGTCAAATCTTATTGCACTAATTTTATTAAAATAGCTTTTAGGGGACTTTTTAAAACATGTTTTCTTAAATTTGCTAAATATCAGTGAAAGATGTATTGGTCCTTATCTCAGTTTCTGATAAGTGACCTGCCATAACTTTGTATTGGGGGGAGAGGGGAGGGAGAGAGGGGAAAGCTCATGTATTTTACTTGTTTTGAAAAAGCCAAGCAGCTTCATTTTAAGTTTATAAAAACAGTGGATTAAAAATCTGAAATTGAATCAAATGGCTTCATCTAAACTAACAGAAACAATACATCTGAGGTTTGTTTTATAAACCACTTGAGTACTAAATATAGTCCTAGATACATTAGCCAAAAAGATTACCTCGAGCAGCCCAAGAAACTTTACTCACACTACATTTAGTATAGAAAAAATAAAAAAGTGTAAGTTTTGCATGTACCATTATTTTACTTAATGAAATGCATAAAGCCAATTTCCCACTCTACAAATGGATTAAGATGTTGCACATAGCCTATGAAGCCCTATGTATCAGCTCATATATAAGAGGATGTGCAGTCAGATGTATGAATGATCACTAGTTGAAAGCAATACCATGCTGCTGTGCCAAAATTGTGTCAATGGTCCCTTACACATATAAAATAAAAGGTAATCAATTTTATTCAGAGCCAATAATCTCTAGCTAAATAATAAGTAAGTTATACTAAAAAAAAAAAAAAAAAAAAATCACATTTCATCAAAATGTTTTGTATAATATACCAGAATACAAGCCTTAAAAAAGTAATGCCAAATCTGTTCAATGAAAAATAATTAAAAGAAGAAATTACCAACTTCATTGAACTGTTGCAGTTGTCAAAATATTCCATAGATCCTAATGCTGTAAAATATGTAACAACATTTAAGCCACAAAAACCTTTTCAACCTTTTAAATGCACAATGAACATCTTTTTGGGAAATTGGGTCAGCATTAGTGAAGAGATGCTGCATCAATAATCATAGGGTTAGACATTTAAAATAAACTGAAATAAGTTATGGTTTTGTTTAAAAAAGGTAAAGGAGAAAGATCATGCTTTGTGCAAAAATACAAATATACAGTATTTTGGTTCTTTTTTTGCCCAACTGAAAAAAATCCTTTACATTTAATAAACTAATTTTACTAACAAAATATAAACGTGAAGGGCAAAAGTCAGATATGACATCAGTACTATTTTCATTTCACCATTTTTTAAAAAAAATAGTGTTTTTAATAAGCACCATCTGATTTCCCACTGCAGAAGATAATCACTTTTACACAGCATCTTCTGTACATTAATGATCATGTTGACCAGATGATGTACATTTAAGACTCTGATTCTGCACACATGCATTACTGACTCTGAGCACACAAGCAGCCCAACTGAATTCAATGAGGCTATTCATATGCTTGAAGTATTTGCACAGGTGACATAATTGGAGCCTACAATATGCAATAACTTAGAAAAAAACAAAATGTTTTATTTCCATTGTGTGTTGATGACTACAGTAGATCACTACCACAACTTCAGTTTTTATTTGTAGAGATAAAGGAAGCATACTACCCATCTTCTAAATTAACAGGCCACATTGAAAATACATATGATTGAAGTTCAAATACAGATACTAAAATTTAGTTATAGAATTTTGAAGCTATTTTCAACAACTTAAACAGTGAAAGACAGGAAGGCCTCTTTACTGTTTTACATGACTTTGCTTTAATTAACACTGGAAAATCAAGTTAATTTATATTTTTAAAAGCTTCGTAAGCAATTCATCTACCTAGATTGCTAATGAAATGTTCCATGCAACATCTTCAGAAACATTCGTATTACACATATACACACATTGTATACATACCTGTGTGTATATTTTCTATACAACTGCATATATACATATGAACAAACATTTATAAATGAATACAAAACAGTTTAAATAGAAATATATGGGTTTTAAGAGCTGTGTGTAACAACTCTGAAATTCCTTATCAGACTGTTTCCATCTTAATATTTTAAGCACACAAAACACACAATGAATGAGTTATAGCTGGAAATCCTAACTGATTTTTTTGCTTATCAATTTGTGTTAGAACCTTAGTGGTTATAAACATGTTGGGAATGGGAAGGAGAGCAGGGGCTTCTTATTAATTTAATTGCTTTAAGAAAAAACATTGTGTGGAAGTTTGTTCTTATTTTAAGATAAAAATTCTTCTACTTAGTAAATACTAATTGAATAAGAGCATTTAGTTTCTGTAATACAGAGCATAAGAATATAAGCGCCCATGTATTTGGCATGGCAAAACATAGTTGTAAAATGCTTCTCAAGAATCAAAAAATAAACCCATATAAAACGTATCTAATGAAAAATGACTTTTCATTAACATTTGAGATGCAGTTGATTAGACCATAATGTAATATAATTTCGTTGCCAAATTATTGTTTTTATTAATCCAGTCACTTCATTTCTTAATGTGAAAGAACTAATGCAGTTAAAACATAGGTGTGTTTAAATGTTTTTCTAACAATTTTAGATCTTGATAAAATGTACTCGAGTGAAGACTTGACACGACAAATGTCAGCAAAGCAGAATGCTATAATTATGTTTTTATAAAGCCCCCAGAAAACGCAAATACTGACACTATTTTAAGTACAGCAGCAATTTTTGCATTTGAATACACCAATTGGCCTTTTAATGGCTTTGTTCTAGCTTACTGTACTTGCACTCTTTTTTGGTTAATCTGTGCATGTTCTGAAAATTCTGCCTTATTGCTTAGTGTTAATATTGCACCTCTGAAATACTTGGGAGTACAATGTCAGATAATATTTGATCTGCCATGTATATTATATATAAATACATTTAAGAAACTTTTGTGTGTCCTCAATGTAAGTATTGAATATATCTGATAATTTTGGACACAGCACTACAGAGCAGATTCTATACCAACTATAGGTTGACCTTCTTTAGTATGGCACCCTTGGGGCCTAACTGGTGCCAAACCAGAGAATTTGAGGCTCACCGGTAGTCAATATTGTCTAGCTGCAATACCAACACTTCCACTACTTACTGGGCTCTTAGAAGACATTTCAGGTAAAAAAAAGAGCTAATAACAGCACAGAACACAGAGCCAGGACTAGTAGAAGTAAAACTTTATGGGACTGTAGGAAAATTGGCCACCTTATCGTAAGTGGATCTCTGGCTAACTGAAAATCATGCAAGACCCCCCAGATGTTGCCGGACCAAAGACAGCAGCCTAGAGAAGTTCAACTTGAAATGTAACATGAAGCTTGAAATTTACTCTAGTTGTAATGTGTCATAATAAAAAACAGACAAAAGAATGTGAATATTTACAAACCATTGCATCAGGATTCACAAATCTTAACAGAAGAGAGGTGTAACAGCATGAACAAATACCCAAGTAGAAGAGAAGCCAAAAATCTTGGGCATTTCTATGATCATGTGAATACATGTTTTCAAATTCACAAATATACACCTATTTAAAAGTGTCAGACAATCAGAAGTAATTATACGATTAGCTAAACTAGAGGAAAAGCAGAGACTTTTCTGATCACATAGTATGAGGATGGAATATGAAAATGTGTCTTCAAAACTTCTATGAATCTAACAGTTGTATAGTGGTACTTAACAGGATTATGGTACTATCAGCTATATTTCTCTTTAACCACAGTCCCATTTCTTTAATGATTCACAGCTTTCTACAAAGGTAATGTCAGAATACTTACAACACATGTAATACTGTGGGATAACAGTAATTTATGTGCTTAATTTCAAGAAGTGTATATGAAGCAGCTTACTTGCTCATCTTATCTTTCTGCAGGTCATTTAAGTTTAGCTGAGGATGTATATTCACTTCTATCCTGATCTTCATTTTTATACCTATGCCGATAATCCTTTGGAACTTTTGTTCCAAGGACTTTTGATGGCACCCATTACTACAGTATCTAAATGTTTCCCATTTCAACTGGAAGAGAAGGCTGGACTTCATGGAGCATCCAACTCTTTTCCCTTCCCTGGCACAGGAGTGGCCAAGGAGTGCTGTGCACTGCTCCTGCCAAAGACACTGCCCCCATAGTACCTTCTGGCCTTGGTTCCTGACCAATGGAAGCTGTGGAGCCAGTGCTCAGGGTGTAGGCAGCATACAGAATTGTCATGGCCAGCCATAGCCCCAGGAGCTAGAAAAACATGCTGTCTGCTTCCTGAGAGCCACTTAGAACCAGGT